TTGTGTCTCAATAGCATGACAGTAATGGTGCAACAACCTGTACCTATAAGCAGGTATATAACAAATTAATAACTTCTGTTGATAGGAAGAATTATTCATTGGGTCTGTGATAACCAGGGCAAACAGCCCTAGTTTGGGAGTTAAAATCCAACTCTCTGGTTTGGGAGTTAAAAGTAGAAGGAACGACTTAGAAAAACAAAAGGATGTATTAAAGTCTAGCGAGACAGATCCAGATTTGGCTAATGGGGGATGGATAGCATGGGCTTTGAAAGATCTTGTTCAGTCTATGCCTAAGGATTCCCGTTTGATATGTTTAGAACTAAGCCTTCTATTCAGTGGCAATAACAAATGCCATCTGCTATAAGAAGAAAAGAAGAACCCCCTGCCCAGCATGTGCAAAGCAGTGCAGGCCTGCAGCAAAGGCCCCAAGACCCCACCTGGGCAACAACTCCCAAACCCACCAGTTAGGATAGCAGCCCAACTCACTGTGTGGAGCTATACCCAGCAGAAGCCCTACAAATAGTAGCGTGGACCTGAAAGCACAGGGAGATGGAGAAAACACAACAAATGGCCACTTGAGTGCTCAGGGGAATACTATACCCAGAAGAGACAAATCTAGGACAAATCACAAAGACATGGAAGATCTGTTCTTCCTATGGGATACAGAATTCGAATTTACATTAATCAAGAAATTCAAAGAACACCAAGAAAACAAAAAAGTGGATCAAAGATACATAACAAAACTCGGAAAAACAAAGGAATGTTCTGAAAATCAAAATCAATGAATGGAAGATCAAAAATGATATTCTAAATAAGAAAATAAAGAATTTCAGGATATAAAAAGATCAGTATAGCAGTTGAAAAATACTGTAGTAGAAAGCTATGGAAGCACAATAAGCCACATGGGAGGGTGAAACAGTGAACCTGAAATGCAATTACACAAAGAAGCAAGAAGAAAAAGAGAAAGAAAGAAAAACAAAACCAAAAACAACCAAAGAAACACTTCTAGAACTATCTAACTCAATGAGGAAAGGTAATATATGAATAATGGTTATCCCAGAGGGGGTTTAAGAACACACAATTTATTTAAAGAAATAATAAAGGAAAAATTCCTGAATCTTTGGAAGGAAATAAAATTACAAATTAAAGAAGTTGAAGAACACCAGGATACCTAAACAAAATGTGACCTACAGCAAGACATATGGTATACTGAAACTTCCAAGAGTTCAAGACAAAGAAAGAATACAGAGTTTGGTGAGAGATAAGGAAGAGATAACCTATCAAGGAACCCTGGTCTAGTTAACATCAGGTTTATCTAAGGAAACACCATAGGCAAGGAGAGAATGGAATAATGTGATCGAAAAACTTAAAAGTAAAAACTGCCAGTCAAGAATACTCTTATCAGACAAATAGAAACTGAAGGAGTTTATAAAAACTAATTATACTTTCCAAAAAATATTATAAGGAGCCCTAGTATCTAAACCACAGAGGGGACACCTACAAAAAATGTAACAAGGAAATAAAGAGAACCAAAAAATTACGGACAAAATGGCAGCAACAGACTTTCATATATGAATAATCACCCTAAATATAAATAGACTGAACTCACCAATTAAAAGATAGACGATCTGGTTGGATTACGTAAGTTGGGTTCCTAAGAGCCCAGGTACCAGACCCAAGGTAAAGGTTTAGAAAACAATCTTATGTGTAAAAGGGATCCAAAGGAAGGTGGGAACAGCCATATCAGAAAAAATAGATTTTCAGTTACAAAAGGTAACAAGAGGCAGTGATAGACACTGTATAATGATTAAGGGAACAATACATCAGAAAAATATAACACTCATCAATGTATACTCACCAAACAAAAGAGCACCAAACTATATTAGGCAACTGCTATCAATTCTGACAACAAATACTGGAAAAGACACATTTGTGGGAGACTTCAACACTCTACTTTCACCACTGGATGGGTCAATGAGAAAGAGAAAGAATAGGGACACAACAACCTTAAACAAAGGATTAGACCATCTAGAGGTAATAGATATCTATAGGGGCCTGCACCCCAAAAAAGCAGAATCCACATTTTTCTCAAATACACATTGGACAGTCACCATTAGACAAGTATCAACAAATTCATGAAGTGGCCTCCCCGGTTGCACAGCGGTTGAGCGCTGGGTTGCGAAGCTGCCCGCAGCCTTTGCAGCGCCAGTTTGATCCCCGGCTGCTCCCTGGCCACGGGAGGAGTGTCCCCCATGGCGCACAGACCTCTCCTGCCGCCCGCTGCTCCCCTCAGCAGTGTACTTCGTCAGTCTGTCTGCTCTACTCTCCCCTCTGACTCTGGTGAATTCTCTCATCCTCCCGTGCTTCTGACTATACCCAGTGCTTGTATAAAATGAATAAATAAACCTTTAAAAAAAAATTCATGAATAAGTGCTCTTGAAGACACAGAAATAAAAAGAACCAAAACAGAAAAGGAAAGAGAAGTACGAAGGAAAAAGAATGAAGAAAGACTTCGGGAACTATCTGACTCCATGAGGAAAGGAAATATAAGAGTTATAGGAATACCAGAAGGAGAGGAGAGAGAAACAGGAAGAGAGAAAATATTCAAAGAGATAATTGAAGAGAACTTCCCAAATGTGAAGAAGGAGCTGAAAATTGATATACAAGAAGCAAGAAGAACACCAAACTTCCACGACGAAAGAAAAAATACAGCAAGACACATAATAGTAAAGCTCCCTAGAATCCAGGACAAGGAAAAAATAATGAAGCTGGCAAGAGGGAAGAAACAGATAACATTCAAAGGAAAGCCAATCAGGCTGACATCAGACTTCTCCGAAGAAACACTACGGGCAAGGAGAGAGTGGAGGGACATAGTCAACAGACTCCAAGAAAACAGATGCCAACCAAGAATACTCTATCCCGCAAAGCTCTCTTTCCTCTTTGAAGAAAGAATATGGACCTTCCCAGACAAACAGAAACTCCGGAATTTCATTGCAACTAAACCCCCACTCCAAAAAATACTACAAGGAGTCCTAAAGCCAGAACCTCAGAGGGACGAATAACAATGAAAGAAGGCCAAAAAAAAAGTTATTAAAAGAATAAATAAATAAAATCAAAGGAAAGACAAACACAATGGCAAATACAGATGTTAACATATCAATATTAACTCTAAATGTAAATGGACTAAACTCTTCAATAAAAAAGCACAGAGTTACAGCCTGGATTAAGAAACAAAACCCAACCTTTTGCTGTCTCCAGGAAACACATTTAGCTACAAAAGATAAAAATAGGCTCAAAGTTAAAGGATGGAAAACAATCCTACAAGCAAATGGACCAAAAAAGAAAGCAGGAACAGCTATACTTATATCAGATAAAACAGATTTCAAACTCAAAAAGATAAAAAGAGACCCCAATGGTCACTACATTATGATCAAGGGGACAATACTTCAAGAAGAAATAACACTCATTAACATATACTCACCAAACGAAGGAGCACCAAAATATATCAGACAACTGTTGTCCTCTCTGAAAACAGACATCAGAGAAAACACATACGTAGTGGGAGACTTCAACACACCACTATCAACAATGGATAGATCAACAAGACAAAAAATAAGTAAAGAAACCAAAGCTCTAAATAAGGACCTAGAGCAATTGGGCTTAACAGACATCTATAGAACACTAAACCCCCAAAAAACGGAGTACACATTTTTCTCAAGCGCACACGGATCATTCTCCAGGATCGATCACATACTGGGGCACAAGACAAACATCAACAGATACACCAAGATTGAAATCATATCAACCATCTTTTCTGACCATGAAGGCATCAAACTAGAAATAAACCATAAAAAGAAGGCAAGGAACTTTCCTACCTCATGGAGATTAAAAACCACACTACTGGAAGACCACTGGACTAATGAGGAGATCAAAGAAGAAATTAAAAAATTCTTTGAATTGAACGACAAGGGGGACACCAATATCCTAAATGTATGGGATGCAGCAAAAGCAGTAATAAGAGGAAAATATATAGCAATAGAAGCTCACATCAAGAAACAAGAAAGAACTCAAAGAAACAACCTA